TTTATTTCTGTCAGCTAATTCCTGTGTCCTCCAGACCTCCATCACTTACTCCTATTCCCCACTGAAGCTGCAGCAGCTGTTTAGGAGGCCGTGCAGTGTGCTGGATCCAAAAGTCTGGTCCTAGCTGAAATAATGAAGGGCCACTTACCAGGCATCCCCCAAATGCTTTGATCAGTGCTGCCAACAAAGCAGTCAGGAGCAGAAAAAAGGGATGGAAATGACCTTGATGTGAAGAAAAAGGCCTGCAGGCTCCCAACTTAAACAGAAGGTTTTTCAGGTAGCATTAATGCAATGATAAACCTGCAGAAATTGCCCTTCAGAAAGCATCATTCCAGCTGAACATCATCCTGACTACAAAGTACTTCTCTGTGTATTAATTCAGTCAGCACAGATACTTAACTGGTGAGTCTACATTTAATACGTGTTTATATTCATTATATTCATCTTCCATAAATGAAATTAGTAACAGCATGCCAGATTTTTTCTTCACATGGCTCCTGCAAATGCATTAAACACAGCAAGCCATCTCCAGAGGCAACTGTGGGCAGAGAGTGGCCCTGTGTGCTTCTGTGGCAGCTGTGCTAAAATTATGCTCCACCCATTAAAAGAATCCTTTTTTTTACTGGATCTGGCTTTAGTTATACAATATTAACAGTGAAAATAGGAAATGAGAATTCATGGCTTCATATGTTTTCAGTTTAAATTCTAGTTAAGCATTCTTGGGGCTTTTACAAGACATCCAAATCAAGTTCTTGCCTTCCATAATTGCTTTTTTAATTTTTACTATGAATACAACATGGAGCTTTTTATTTAAATATCAGCATTCTTTCCTTGCATAGAAGCATGGGAGGTTAGAGATGAGTGAGCTTCCTATGTGAGCTGTAAAGTATTAGCAGAATCACAAAACGGTTTGGGTTGGGAGGGACATTTGTTCCAATCCCTGCCATGGGCAGGGACACCTTCCACTAAACCAGGTTGCTCGGGGCCCCATCCAGCCTGGCCTTTAACACTTCCAGGGATGGGGCAGCCACAGCTTCTCTGGGCAACCTGTGCCAGGGCCTCCCCACCCTCATGGGGAATAATTTCTTCCTAATATCTAATCTAAACCTACTCTGTCAGTTTGAAACCCTTTCCCCTTGTCCTGTCACTGCAGGCCCTTTAAATAGTCTCTCTCCATCTTCCTTGTAGGCTCCCTTCAGGTACTGGGAGGCCGGAATTAGGTCTCTTCTCCAGGCTAATCCTGGGATGCTCCCTCTGGGACAATCCCTGTGTGACCTTGAGCTTGTCAGCCTGTCATCCACCCACATCTCCTCATGGTTCTCTGGTGAGTTTGTACAGAGCTGCAAAAAAGCAGCAATTCTACAGTTACTGGGGGCTGTATCACCCCAGAGAAATCTCACAGCTCTTTTCTCTGGACACTGTTGTTTTGCCACTTCAAGTGAAGTGATGCTGTGTGAAAGGATGGGAGTCACTCGTCCCTTCTCCTGAAAGCCCTGGCCCTGTAATTGCTGTCAAATTAGTTCTGTTCATGCTGCAAGAAAAAATACACTTAAGGGTTTTCTTTTACAGAACTGTACTGGACATCTTTTTCTTTTATATACAAATAAAAATGTAATGACAAGAAAAATTGAATAGATGACAAACAAGGAGCCTGCATTTCAAAGGACACAATCAAAGAGCTGAAGCCTTCAACTACAATTCTCTTCAAATTGCTCAGTAAACAAGTCAAATTCTCAGGACTGAGATGGTTTTAAATCCACCACTCCCCAAATAGAGGATAATTTAAAAAAATCCAATAGTGCACCATGATTGTTTTTCCAGAGGAAACTGCCACCAAACATATCACTTGTACCAACTGTTCTCAGAAATGGTTTTGTATCGTTCACTTTGGTATACAACCTGCTACTTGGGCAAGTAGAAAGTGTTGCCAAAGCTTGCTGCTTGCTTTTTCAGGAACTCTGTGATCTTTCTGAGCTGTTAGTACTAAAAATGTGTGTATGTATATACATATATATATATATATATAAAAGTACATGGTTAATACTAGTTTTTGGACCAAAAAAGTACCTAATCACTGAAACTGAACATTGATAAATAGAAACAGCAACACATGTTGCGTTAAAACAAAACAAAACAAAAAAGCCTAAAACAGTCAAGAGCAGCATCCACCTTTGGCCATCCAGCTGTCAATGGGTGTACGGAAAGTCACTGCCAATAGCACAGGATGAAGGGATTTCCCCAGAAAGGCAGGTGAAATCACCTACAACTGTACACCTTAAAACAGATGAGACTGAAAAACAGAGGATATTAACTCATGAAGTAATAAGCAGAACAGAAAACTCAGAAGCAATCTGAACATCATTCTTTCTATAAGCTACATAGGAAGGTGCCTTGTGGAATGATCAGATGAGAGGTTTTAAATTAAGTGAGAGGACCTAGTTTTTAGAATAATGCATAATTTAACAGAACTCATGGCTATAAAAATGTAGAAGGGAGCCTACAACAAAGATGACAAGGTGTTTTTTGCAAGGCCAGGCATTGACAGGACAAGGAGGAATGGGTTTAAATTGAGAGTAGGTTTATATTAGACATTAGGAAGACATTCTTCCCCATGAGTGTGGTGAGGCCCTGGCACAAGTTGCCCAGAGAAGCTGTGGCTGCCCCATCCATGAAAGTGTTCAAGGCCAGGCTGTATGGGGCCCTGAGCAACCCGGTCTAGTGGCCCATGGCAGGGAGGTTAGAACTGGATGATCTTTAAGGTTCCTCCCAACCCAAACCATTTTAGGATTCCAGGAATCCACAAATATATTTAAAATATGACCAAGATAATGGGAGAACTACCAACAACACTTTTCTGCTCTACAGTAAACACAAAGACTATCAAAACACAAGCAAGCTGGCACCTGATGGGTTATTAGAGGCAAATGTGACCAATCCATTTGAACGTATCTGTCACGGAGCTCTGCTTGCTGTAAATTGTGGCTGGCACAGCTGGTGACTGCATGTAATCATCATTTTTTAATTACATAAAACAATGCTTTGGAAAAAACCACAACAAATTAGAACACAAGCCTAAAATCAGAGCCCAAACGTTTAGAGGTGAAGCCATGTGAAGCTGACATGGGGGATTTCCAGCTGGTACCGTTTAGGGGGCTGTTGGTGCCTGTGCCTTTCTTGCTGCTGTTACATGGGCTAAAGAGTGCAGGAATCACCCTTACCAGACCACTGGTTACAACAGCAACCAAATAAATCACCATGCAAGCAACCAGAGGTAAAAATTAACTGGGGAAGAAACAGAAATCCTCACATAAGGTCTCTTTATCCTTCTGCTCTTCCCATTACAGACTCATTTTCTGGGATTGCCTTCATTCATCAGACGCTGGGCATCAGTGCAGCACCACCCAACACCATACCTGCTCTATTCCTCCCACTGGGAGAGGTGGTGGTGAAATCCAGAGCAGCAGTCACAACTTTCCTGGGGTTGGGAATGTGCAAGGCACCACCTCCTGCTCATACCCAGAAGCACTGGGTCCAGGTATAACCAAGCAGTGTCCTCTGGTTTCCACCACACTGTGTCCTTTACATCAGGTCTGAACTAAGGTCACCGTGCTCTCCAAGAGAGAACAATATACACCAGTGTCCTGTCAGGAACTACAGGGGAGTAACAGCACAGAGCAGTTCCCACCTTTTCCCCATGCGATAAAATAGTGGCTATAAAATCCAGCTGCCAACAGCTGAAACCATTCTTTGACTATTTCAAGTTGACTTAATACAAATGATATTTTCATATAGCAGTGCTCTGTTTTCAGTAGAAGTGGGAATTAATCAGCACCTTGAACCTCTGTGTATGGGATTACACAAAGCTGCTGTGTTATATTGTAATATAGTAAGTTTTATTGAAATTTAGCTAACTCTACAGAGAGATACCAGGATAATACAGGATTAAACTCCAGCTTGAGTTCTGAAAAACACTTCCTGTCTTTAATGCACTCTGTACAAAACTCTTGCAGCCAAATTCAACCAAACCGCCCAGGATGGCTGAAATCAAAGGCTGCAATTTCTCCTCAGCTTGGTCTAACCTGGAGTGTTCTGGATAGGCTTGGAAAACACTAAGAAAAATAAAATAAAATAAATAAAATAAAATAAATAAAATAAAACAAAACAACTAACACTTTGGCTGCTGAGAATTCCACCAGCATGTTACATTCCTGTTCTGAAGGGGGAAAAATACACTGAAACATACCAGAAACTTATCTCTGCTGTTATGAAAGGGCAGTATAAGTTTACTAGGGGGTTGTTCAGTCAAATCCGTTGAAACATAATCAGTCAGTTCTTCTACAGGTGGGGAATAAACTGTCTCCATTTTACCAGTGTTTTGTTCAGATCCAGCAGAAGAAAATCAGCAAGCAGGTGGGGTCAAAGGAGTACAGAGGCCTTACATCCAACCCTGGCTCCTGCAAATGCATTCTTGTACAATCCTATCACCCACCCTGATGTTCATTTCCCATCCATGCAGTCGTGAATTTGTCTGGAGTGGAGAAGACCACATCAGGGAACATTCAAAAAGCAGAAGTTGATCTGTTTTAGCCAAGATCCAACACAAATCCTCAGGGAGCACCCTGTGTCCAGCTGATGATTCCATTCCCAACAAAGCCACCAGTATCCAGCCATGTCAAACCACACAGCAATACAGATCCACCAGCTTCTTCTTACATACCACACCTCTAGTGAAAAGATTGACTTTTAATAGGAGTCCAGAACTTGGCATCTTCTATCACAGCTGACATAGCAGCCTTTCTTCACAGGTCTGTCTGATACAAGAAAAATAACGAGGAGTAGAAGCAACAAAGGGCCTGTGAAATCTTGCAGCTTGGGGATTATTTTTAAAAGGTGTTTCTGATAACACTGTGCTGGTTTTAACATCTATTTTCAGGATCACAGGCCAGCAGTTTTTCTCCAGCAAGCAGGAAGATACCAGTCTGCAATATGACCACCCCTGATTTCCATGGATTTCTTTGTAGTGCCTGTCTACTCTTGCTTCTCCCAAAATATGCAGCCAAGTGTGCCAACCAGATTGTGGTTTCAGTGATTTTCTGTAGATCAGACTGCCACAAGCCCAAGCAAAACCTTTCACAATGCCCTATAAAACAACAACAAAAAAAATTAATATCCTCTCTGTGGCAACATTCACACAACACTGGCAAACTCCCATACTTGTCTTGCAAGGCACCTTCATTCACAAATCCAAGCACAAATGGCTTGCATGGATTTGGGACGCATCTTTTCCACTGACCTAATTGTGGCAGCAGCTCAGACAATGTGTTTTGTTGGATTTTTTTTTCTCCCCCCTGTAGCTGTGTCACAGACTTATAACTGCAGTACGTCCTTAATACAGCAGTGGGTAAACAAACACCACACAAAGCAGCTTGCACAAGAGGGAGGTGGAGGACTCGGAGACAGCTCCCTCACATGTTTTAACAAGTGCTCTCAAAGAGAACATTCCAGGCAGTGTTACATTTCTGCCTAAGCCTCTTAGAGCATCAGTTTCCCTTTGAACACTTGATAATCCTAATTTGGGACTCATCAGAGGTAAACAGAATTTGCCTTTGCAAACAGGTACTAACCAAGTGACACAGTACCCCTCATTTCACAATTAAAAAGCAAATGTCAGCACATTATCTTCGCAGTTACTATAAATAACAGTCTGAGGGGAGCGAGGAACTTCTCAAAGTAACTTATCTTCCATATTCCATGACCTCAAACAAGCTTCTGACATCCCTGCTTTGGCAACACAGATGATCCTCATGCAAATTCCATGCAAATCCTAATCACACTATCAGTAAAGAAACTAAGTAACAAAGTCCAGCATCTTCTAAAACAGCAGTCTGAATATAACACAGAGCCTGTAGTGGCTTTATTCCATATCACCCCAACACAGGAATGAAAATGTCTGGTATAACTGTCATAGGGTGACTCTCCTCTTTGCAAAAGCAATAACAAAAAATAAATTGTTTTTAGAATGTCCCGAGTTGAAAGGGACCCACAAGGATCACAGCTTAAAATGGATCTGCTCAGATCCATTTCTCTCTGTAAGCTGATCCTCACTACATTACTGACAACTTCTACTTAAAGAAAATTGAAAAAAAAAAAAAAGTAAACTAAAGGTGAATTAACTTTAAGATAAGAATGAATACCTCATACAAGGGAAAAAAAAAGGAATTCAGCATTTGGCTAGAATGAATGTGAATACAAATCCAGGATTGTTTTAAATAACATTTAACCATGCTTTGAGACCGAAAATAACAATCATACCATGAGATAAGAAAGGATTTAAGTTTTCTTTTACACATACAACTCCATTTTATAATCTGCAAAGCAGCAGCAAGTCAGCTCTACTCTCACTTCTGTATGGATGATACTCAAAAACTCCCCAGTCTTAAGAGTCATTTCCCTTATGGATTCTTATCAACAGGACAGTGCAGTATTTAAGAAATAACAGTGTGCATCACCATGCCATGTTATCCCATAGTTAGCAGATAACCCTTAGAGCAGACCAGGATTTGACAGAATCTACAGAACAGGCTCTCCAGCAGAAAGCTGGAGCTCTGCATCAGCTCAGCCAAGAATTGCAGTCTTCCTTCTGTCCTCGTGCACTTCCCCTGCCACGTGCCTCCTGCTGCCCTTCCCAGCTCGGACACAGTAGTTCATGGTTTTCTTCCTTCACAAAACCTTCTGATGTTAATAAAGTCATCTCTTCCTTCTCTTTTCCTCAGCTTCCTCACCTTCCTCCTCTCCTCCTGCCAGTTTACTGCTTTCTCCAGGCTAAACATAGAGTGCAGAACACCCACTGGAGTGCCTCTACCTGCTGTACAAACACTGCAAGGCAGAGCTGAGTGGCCTGGCCAGGTAGGATGCTGTTCACTCCTGCACTGTGGATTCTCTGCTGTGGGATAGAGACAAAGTTACTTGGGAGGAATGTGCTGCTGCATCACTTATCACTGTAGCAGGGGGCTGGCAGCACCAGGCAGAACTCACAGAAGACTGGTAACTCTGCTATGCTGCCACAGGTTTCTTGTCATCTCCTGGAGGGATCAGGGGTCCCCAAGAAAAACTGGCAGTTTGCAATAAGTACAGAAAGCCAAAAGCTACACTCAGCCAAAACCACATCGCCAGGTAAACTTTATAAATAAACATACAAACCCTTAATTACTGTACTGAAAAGCACAGGGACCACAGGCCCCAAAGACAGACCATCACCTCTTTGACAAATATTACAAGGACAACCATTATAAACATTGATGCTTCTCTCCCTCTCCTCTGAAGGGAGAACATAGCTGAATATGAACTTCCCATGGCAAAGTTCTGCATGATCTTGTATCCTCCAACACGAGACGAGTTGCTGATTGCACTGAAGTTGTGTAGTGTCCAGAGCTCTTGGCCCAGCACAGCTTTATTGTCACAGTCCTCAGCTGACATGATTTAATGATTATCAGGAACACACACTGTCCTGCCAGGGAAGCTGACTATCTCCTCCAGATGGGAGGAGAAATACTTGACAAGGGACATGTCAAAAGTGGGGATTGGAAAAAAACAGATCCCATCTTCTCTCTAATGACACCCTAAAGCAAACAGTCTCAATGTCCTATGCTAAAATTATATTCTTTTGCTTTTCTACTTCTCCTTCCAATTACCACCCAATACTGAATTCCTATCAGGGAGCCCTCAGATCTACTTTCCATTCAATCCTGAAACTGCCAGTGTATAGTGGAGTTGGATTGTCCCCCACCCTGCCACAGCAACTGACATTTTCTGAACTGAATCCATTTAGAAGCTGTAACCACCTCTGGTTACACAGATCAGCTTACATCATTGGTTTTAAGTTAGTTTTAATTTGCCTCTTTTTCTTCAAGAGGCCAGGAAACCTGGATGTGATACGGCTCTAGTTCTTCTGGAGTGACATAGTCTGGAGCGTTGGCCATCAGGTCTCGTCCCCTGAAGGATTTTGGGAATGCAATGACATCTCGGATACTTGGAGCGTCAACAATAAGAGAGATCAGCCTGTCAAGTCCTAGAAGAAGAAGACAAATTGGTGAACCACTTGAGTTATGGCTCTATATTACTTCCTCTGAGTCAGAAAAATCAGAAAGATAGAGTGGGTAATATTATTGAGCTTGAAGAAAAAGAGTGAAGCAAAATGAATTCTCAACAAGTAGCAGAGTAAGAGACTTGCCTCAAGAGAAGAAATGCCGACCAAAATAAAGCCTTTCAATATTGCACAAAGTTCTGCAACGACAGAGACAGTGTCTTTGCAAACATAGCATAACAAAATTGGGGCAGCTAAGTGGCAGGACACTGTCAGGGCTCTGCTTGACCGCTCAGAGCTCTTGGTCAACCAGTTCAGAAAGATTACAACAACCAGGAGGAATTCAAAAATAACAAGAGCCGCTGGGTGTCTGGATGGAGGGAAGTCACACTGAGAGACCACAGATTAAAATGCCATCTTTGTTTTTTGTAGGCATTTTTGTTTGTTTTGGTGTGTGTGGGAAGGGTGTTGTTGATTAGTTGGGGTTTTTTCCCCTCTTTTGTTAAACCTCAAACTTGCAGCATTCTAGGAAAAAAAGATCCTGACATTATCTGAATTAGTGAGCAAAACAGATAAGGGAGAAGGGAAGTGAGACTGAAGCAGAGGGCAAGGGTGTGAAACACAAAGTACTAAGCTGCCCTAGACCTCTCAGCATGAAGTACAGGGATCCTGCTCTGGTTGCACAGGAATGAGAACAAAGACAACCTAATCTTGGTGACTAGACCTCTGTTTATTTCCCCAAAGCTGCTGCAGAGATGGAAGCACTGTGTAAGCCCAGTGTTACCAGGCAGATGTGCCAAAATCAACACCTGAACAGCCACCTCCATCAGGAGGAGACAAGGTTTTTCCTAACAAGCATGTTCCTGGGGTCTAGTATGCTAAAAAAGGGCACAACACACCTGCATCTGCAGAGCTACAGAGCACTTACCTAAGGCAATTCCTCCATGAGGGGGAGCTCCTAATTCCAAAGCCTCAAGCAGATGGGAAAGCACCTCAGAATCCTCCTGCAAAATTACCTAAGTGTCACTGGACAAGCAATGCTCTTCCTATTAGCAACACAAGATGAGGATACAATTAAGTCATCCATTGCTCAGGGCTAGGAGTTATGTTTCTTTATCTGAGAAGCACGTGAGTGTCTCTTTCAGAATATTAAATTAACATTTGAACTAATTAGTCCTTTAAATCTCCAAGAGAATATTAGAGACATCTGTAGGTGTTACCTTCAGCACTTTCTCCAGCACAAAACGTTGTTGTTCTGCACTGTGAATTCTGATGGAGCCACCTCCAACCTCATTGCCATTCAGCACAAGGTCGTAGTGCTGGCTACGGACCTGCAGAGAGGAATGAACAGGCACCTCAGTGAGGCTGGGGCACAGCTGCATCCAACAGCAACCTGCACAATGATGGCAAACGCTCTGGGAATGAAGCCATGAAACACTACAACACTGGTCTCTCGGGGGTATGTTGCAGTTCAGGTAGCAGTCCTGCTGGAGGCATGGACTGCCTCTGACAGACGTGGAAACAGCAGAAATCCTTTTGAAGGGATTGATCAAAACCTGAAGCTCCTTTTGTCAGGGACACATGTGGATACTGCCCCTCAGAGCACTGGGGAAGCCATCTCTTCCAAACAGACACAGACAAGATCACAGAATGGCCTGGGTTGGGAGGGACTTTAAAGATCATGTTGTTCCAACACCCTGCCACAGGCAGAGGATACATTCCACCAGGCCAGGTTGCTCATAGCCCCATCCAACCTGGCTTTGAACATCTCCAAGGATGAGGCAGCCGTAGTTGCTCTGGGCAATCTGTGCCAGGGCCTCACCACCCTCACAGGGAAGGATTTCTTCCTAACATCCAATTTAAATCTACCCTCTTTCAGCTTAAAGCCATTTCTCCTTGTCCTATCACTGCTTGCCCTTGTAAAACATCCATCTCCAGCTCTTCTGTAGCTTATCTGGGCACTGGAAGGGGCTTTAATGTCTCCCTGAAGCTTTCTCTTCTTCATGCAGAAAAAACCCAGCTCCTTCAGCCTGTCTTCATAGCAGAGGTACTCCAACCCTTTGATCATCTTAGTCGCCTCCTCTGGACTCATTCCAACAGATCTACGTCTTCCTTATGCAGTCAATTCCATGGAACAACATCTCTTTTTATACTAAAACCAGCTGCTACTTGCCTAGTTTTCCATGTGAGCTGCTGTAAAAGAGAGAGCATGGCAGGCATGAAGTTAGTTACCTTTGTGGGATCAGAATAGAGGAGGCTGGCATCTGAAGGATGTGGGGCAGTGAAGGGGTGATGAGCAGATTCCAGTTCAGTGGGATTCTTGGCCTTCGGGAGGAAAAGGGGGAAATCCACTACCCACAGAAAGTGAAAAGCTGTAGGATCACGGAGTGCCAGCCCAGCTGTCTCAAGGAGGATGGCACTCAACAACCGCAGGCTTCCTAATGCAGAGCACTGCAACAGAGAAGGGAGAGCATAAGACAGGGCAACTTTACCAGGGGGGAAGTCATCAAACACCGACCAGGGAAAGAGAGTGGTTCATAAAGGCAGCATCAACTGTAATGCACTCTTGCCTTAAACATTTCTGCCTTGTATCCCGAAACATATCCCCTTCCTGCTGAGGCAGCAGCAGCTCCAGGGTTTGACAAAAAACAAGTAAGGAGCCCGAAAGTCCATTTTCTTCCAACTCTTCCCTCTTCACGGAACTTTTTTAGACTAACCTCAAGCTACACATATGTGGATTAACTGGAGGAGCCCATGTAAGTTCTACACTTTGCAGACAAAGAAATGAAGGCATAGAGAAAGAGTGCGTACAACAAAATTTTGGCTATCAAGCAGAGCACAACACCTTGTAATACACCAATGCTTGGAAGGCAACATCTGCTGGCAAGAATATGGAGAAGGGTAGGGACAGAATCTCCCACCAGTGCTGCTAATAAGTCATCCACTTATGGGAGACAGAATTACCTAGTTGACCTTGTTTTCCAAAAAGCTTGATGCTTTAAAAATTAAGTTAAGGTGAAAGAAAAGGAGGTACTGATTTGTTGCAGGGTTTTTTTCTTATATTTCAGCCTTCACTTCAGTTACAATGCCTTCCCAGAATTTGACTGGGGGCAATAAAAGTAATAGGTACATTTCATGCTTTATTTGCTGTTGCTATAGCTTCTGCTCTAGAGAAACAGAGAATTAGACGATGACCTATTTAAACAAGAAGAATCAGACTAAGGTCAGATAACATGAAAACCATCATCAGCAACACTCAACTCACACAGCCAGCCAAGAAATGCCTCATACCACTTGCTTATGTTCACCAGCTGCCAGCAGCACCACATCATCCACCTGCATGTTCAGTGCATGGATAAGCTCCAACTGCTGCTTCTCACCAAGAACCTTGGTAAGCAGGGACTTCAAGCTTCCATCAGGCCTGCGGATAATTTCCATGATTTCCTAAAGAAAGATAAGAGTATGTTTAGTGCAGTGCTGCCCTCTCTTGCCTTGAAGCATCACGTGGTCAGGCACTGACTCTCAGCTATTAAAAACTGCTCTTCTACCTTCCTCTGCCCTTAAACACACTTTGTCATTCACCCATTCCAATAACTCAGCAGCATTCCTGTCTCACCTGGTTAAACTGGGATTTTGCTGACTCCTTTAATGACTCCAAGTCTTTATTTTTAAGATACCTCTGGGGAAAGAACAAGAGAATACAGTAAAGATCAGCAAAATTCTTGGAAAGCTTGACTAGGATTCAAATTACTAAGCTGTTTCCAACCTTCTCAAATTCTTTTGCTTCTAGTACAAGTTCTTATGAAGGCTGTGGAACAGGACAGGGCCCACAGCACCGGGTTGTAGTTTGGATGTCCCTCCTAGAAGCGACCCCTCTAGGTGTACAGATCATACCAACTAGCTGCCTCCAGCCTACAGAAAGCAGGTTACACCACCACACTGTTGATGGGGAAGGCAGAGCTCAATTTAGAGCAACAGAGAGAAACCATATGCAGCAAAACGCAGTAAATGAGTCCAGATCTTAATTTTTTTTCATCTACTCTAGTGTTCAGAAAGGCTCAAGATTCCACTTTAGTGTTGCTAAAACACACACCTCAGTGCCCTCTGGTGGGAAGCCACTAACTTGCACTTTGTGTTAAAATGAAAGGAATCCTGAGAGAAACCATGGTCAGAAAGTCCTATTCCCAAAAGAAAACTCATTATTTAGTGGATTTATTTTTTCCATACTGTTCAAGCTACAACAATGCCCACAGCCAGAATTAAATCTGCTTCTCTGCCAATATATCTGGCTGTGTCAAACAAACTTCTACGTCTATTGTAAGCCTTGGATTTGGTCCGTGACATTCTCAAAATAAGACATGATTTGTGCCCACAAATGCAGCTAAAGCAAACATGAGAAGGACATGTACCCTGACCTTTCTCTGCCTAGCCCAGAGCTGTGCCATACTCAGCCCTGTTTCAATCTCTTACCATGAGGTACAATTTATTATTAAGATGCACATCAAAAGGCTGACAAAAAGCAAGGTGAAACCCTGAGAGGATTCCCTATCCTCAAAGGATCTTGCAGCTTCATTCTCTTCTTGCCTTTCCTAAGGATAATACAGTTTTCCCATCATCTGATCATCTCCATTCTAACACCACTCAGCCCAACCTTTGGACATTGATTACAATGAATCCCAAGTTCCCTGAAGGACACAGCAAGAATGTGTTCTTCTAATGAAGAAATTCAGATGGCATTTTATTTATTTCACATAAACCATAGCAGGAATGTAAAAGAATCACTTACCACTCCCTGAGGGATACAAATGGCTCTGATGGTGCCATGTGGGTAACTGAGTGCATTCTGCACAAACTCAATGTCTGATAGACGTAAAACATCACTGATATCCACTATCTGAGAAAGGAGAGATGGGAAAGAGCCTTGGTAGTAGGAACATGAAGCAAAAGTCCTGTACCTGTGTCTTAACACCTTCAACACTATTCCCTTTTAGGAGCTTTTGCTCCTAAAACACTCAAGGTGCATTGCTTCCTGACAATACATTATCTTTAAAATAAAATTTTATTAGAACATACGTTTTCTGCAGCCAACTAATCAAACCCACTCCTCACCGAGACCTGTACAAAGGGGTCTGATGGGACAGACCCCTTGGGTAAATTACAGCACTCAGAACTCCAGCCAATCATGTACATATGATCTAAAGATTATTAAAACACTAACGGAAAGAAAAAGCTGCAAGTTTACAGTGGGCAAACCCTCACCTTCATCTCAAAGCGAGTGTCTGGTTTGTCAGTCCCATACTGAGACAGTGCCTCTTTGTATGTCATGGAAGGGAAAGGAGTTGAAATGGAACCTCTTTCCTCAGGCCAGGAATATTGCAGGAGGCCCTCTATCAGTCTCTGGATTCCAGCTTGATCTACAAATGACATCTCTATATCTATCTTAAAACAGGAAACAAGAGGGGGAATTCAACATTAGCTATAGGTTTTGCTTTCACACTGCAACTTGTAGAAGCTCCTGAGCACAAAGGCGGCAAAACAAGAAGCAACATATGACATGACATCAGAGCACAACTGCATTAGTCTGGCGATGTGATTATGATCTCCCTACAGCCTGATGACTCAGGAAACAACCACCTCAGAGAGCCCAATGAGGTAATCATGACAAGGACATAAGAAGCAGCATTGAATAAACCAGGCTAATTCTGCCTGGGATCTCAAGGCTGAGGAATGGGATGCCTGACCCAGCAGGACAGAGAAGATTGCATTATCAAGCACAAACACACACCAAACAACTCTGTACCCCCCAAGCAACACCAGACTAGCACAAACCAAGCCTTCAGAAGGGGAAACAGCTAAAAAAGCTATCTAAGTTGAGGCAGCAGCACGAGCTGGTTACCTGTGTGAATTCAGGCTGCCTGTCAGGCCGTGAACCCTCATCTCGGTAGCAGCGAGCAACCTGGAAGTACCTGCAACAGCACTGTTCCTTAGATAACAATTTAAAGCACCCTAAATTACAACTACAATCAATATTGTGGCTATAGAATTAACTGATCATAAAAAAAGACAATGGGAGGAAAAAAAGAACAGAGAGAGTGTTTTGTTCCCTTTGCAGCAGATGATCTTCGTTCTCAACCCTTGAAGAGCATGAAATCTTGAGTGGAAGCAACTGCATCAGCAGCTGTATCCATCTCCAACCATATCTTCCAGAGGCATGTGGAGGCTGCCAGGTGAGCTGGTCTCCAACAGCCCCATACTCAACTCTTTTTCACCTCCCACTACACTCTACTAACAGCCATGCAAAATTCACAGACGAGACCTGGCCTGTAGTTCACTGTGTGAAGAACTGTTTCCCTCTCCTTCAGTTTTATTTGGAGAAGCAAGCCCAGTTAAAAACTTGGTATTCAAGCACCTTGAGAACATGCTTTCCCTGTCTCTGTCATGCTCAGAAGCCCAGTCTTGTCTCAATTAGTTTTGTAGGTTACTCTTCTACAAGAAGCTTTTATCACACATTGGATTTTCCACCCTTGAGGCAGACTGTGCTTCAGATCAGGTTTACATTTAAAGCAGCAGTGAAGATTTCAGCCTTCCAACAGGATACATTTCCTCTGACTGGAAGGGCAAAAAGCCTGGCCTAGGTGGAAAGTCTCAAGTACTTAAGGACTCCTCTTCAAAACACAAAACCCTTGGCAGTAAGTTTTTGGGGAGAAGTATCTAAAACTTCACAGATCAAAGCAAGCCAACCCTGGATGGGACATGCACTGAACAGGACTCCAAGAAACTCTTACCTGTCCAGGCCTCCAACCATGAGGAGTTGCTTGAACTGTTGAGGACTCTGTGGCAGGCAATAGAACTTGCCTGCTTCCCTCGAGGGCACAACGAATTCTTTGGCTCCCTAAGCATCAGAATGAAAATTGACAGAGTTCAACAAGTAAGTGGTCCCAATTCTTGACAGAGCACAAGAGGAAAGGACCTATTTCCCCATTATGAAATCCCACTTGTGAGGAAATGGCTCTTTGTACATTACACTTAAGATCTGTTAACCAACTTCGTCCAAAGTATCCCAAAGGAGAATTCTCCACCTCCTGGTCTGAGAGACTAATACATAATACATGGGTAATACCCCATCCAAGATAGGGGTTTAAATGCAAGAACTCCACACTCGCTGCATCAACAATTCCTCAGCTACAGCTCTCTTCTCTGCGACTATTTTTGAAGTGAAAGAAAGGAACGTAAATTCAGAAATTACATTTACTTGAGTATGACAACTGCAGTAACCTACTGGTTAAGAGATAAATGCTGGGAAGACAGTGCTTTAAGGAAGTTTTTTGGTTTTATAATCCAAGGACAGACTTGCATCCAGCACATGCTCTACAAGACAGAAGCTTTATTCATTTGAAGGTTCAAAATTAAGACTCAAGTTTTCACTTCTCCCTTTTCTACCCCTTTACTTTTAAAAGGATCCATGGATCATATCAGAAGTTAAAAGACCTGTTACTTAGTGAGGGAAAAGCGATGAAGGCTGAGTGGTAACTGACAACAATTCCACCATGAACTGCCTGTGCAGCTGCAGGAGGTCAAAAAGCATCACATACATACCCCGGGGGTTCTTTTAAAGAGCGTTGGAGTTTCTACATCCACAAACCCTGGGGAACAAACACATGCTTCAGACACAGAATATGCTGAGAGCAGGAAGAACTAATATGACAGAGTTAAGCTAGAGTATGGTCAGTCAGCCAAATAGGTCATCTAGCACACCATGGAGCCTCTCCAAAATCCACAGACTGTTGCTTCTAAGAATAATTCCTGTAATGACAGATTGAAAGGCTCTGAGCTACCCTGATGTCCTGCCAGAAATGTAGATGACAGAGGACTCGAATCAGGCTGAAAAATTGTTCATTCTCTATCCATTCTGAACTAGGTACTGCTTTTCCAAAAAGGTGTCTAAGAGAAGCAAAAGCCCTAGAAGAGATCCATCCCTCTGACATGCGTCAACTGGGTGACCAAAAGAGGGAAACTACTTGCAAAACTTCCATTTCTCACTGTAACCAGCTTATTGGAAACAACTCGCTTGCAGCATGCCAAGAGATTTCAACATTGTTCTTCAGGCCTGGCAACAACCCTCTAAAGACCCCAACACAAGCAGACATGTCCTTACTGAGTGGGACCAGTTTGGAGCAGCTGGCTGGGATTTCTCCCAGCAATAGGAAACAGCAGAAAGGAGAGTTAAAATGTTCTTTTCTGCACACTGTTGTTGAAGTACATGTCTCACCATGGAGGTTGCAGAGATACTCCCTCATCCTCATCACCACTTGTGACCTCAGCCGCAGGTTGTGCTGCAGCTGGAAGCTGCGCAAGTCCAAGTAGCGATACTGCATCCGTAAGGCCTCCGACTTCTGGGGAGGAGAGAGAATGGGGATTCAGAGACAAAACTCAAACTCCATGTCTACTGCAGCTGCTCCTAAAGCCACAGGAAAAAAGGGAGAAGCTAAAAAGGAATGCTGCTCAACTGCCACAAATCAACCACTACCCACAACCTACACAAGCATCCACCAGAGTGTTTTCACACACGACAATCACTTAAAAAAAAACCCAAACTGCCCAGAGAAGCTGTGGCTGCCTCAACCCTGGAAGTGTTCAAGGCCAGATTGGCTAGGGCTCTGAGCAATGTGTCTAGAAGAAGGTGTCCCTGCCCATGGCAGGTGATTGGAATGAGATGATCTTTAAGGTCCCTTCCAACCCAAATCACATCTTGATTCCATAATTCAAAAAACCCCACATATTTACCATGATAAGAGCTGCCTCTTTTGTTTCAAACTCAAAGAAAAAGCTAGCATAGCCCTATTCTTTCACTCTTCCCTTTACTATCCTTACACTGACATTTTGAAATCTGCAATCACTCAAGCCTTGTTTTCTGCTTAGCTCTTAGAAATACATCCTCACAGGAAACAAGGAGTACCTCTATTTTAAATATTATTTCCCCAAAGCAAAGCTGGGAGAACCAGACTAAGCTCTCAGATGTTTTGCTATCAACACAGGCAAATTCCCACTATATTGAAAAGCCACCACTTCGGGGAAACAACAACAACAACAACAACAACAATTAAAAAAAAAAGACACCTTGATAAAATCCTTGATTTCAAAAGGCAGCTTCTTGCAGAAGTTCAGGATCTCTGCAGTCTCCGCTTTTACTTCGATATCCCCTGTAGGCATTTTCTGGAGCAAAAAGGCAAGAAAAAAATTAAAACTCAAAACAATTGGACAAAGGTATTTCACAGATGGTCAAAGGGAAAAAAGAAACCATGCGGTTATCTTCCCTGCCTTCTAACTCAGACAGCTTCTCTCAAGGACAGATTTCTCCTTCTGTTCAGAAAAACACAAGTCACCTCACCAAAGATGGCAGGTTTTTTCCCAGGAGCATACTGGTCTCTTCAAGAAACACAATTACTTTTCCTGTGCCTTCTCCTCAAAGGACATGTTGAGCAGAGGAAGTCAGGCTCAGCGCTTTCTAGGGCACACATATTTGAACAAAATACTACCAATTAGTATCTCAGTTAACCTCAGAACCACACAGTGTATACGTTTTAGTGTACATTAGCAGCAGCCCTTAATACAAATCAAAAAAGGCAAATTTGAGGAACTTCTCAGAACTTCCAGTTCTGAACACTAGTTCTCAGAACTAGTCTTTCTTTCTTCAATCCCAAGGGGAGAGCAGGCAGCTTCCCTCACATAGCACTGAGGCATAGCAAAGTTCATTTGAGCCTGTAGAGCTCTTGCTATTTACCAGGAGAAAGTACATACAACCTTCCAACAAAAGAACAAAAAGAACATGAACAAAAGAAATAAAGGCGTTGCTTGAAGCCTGGATGCTTCATGGACATCTACAAGTGGTCAGAGCAAAAAGTTATGACCATAAATCCAGGTTCTCTTTTTAGATCATGGTGACATTGTACAATCCTGACAGATTAACCTACAGCTGATTACAATGAGAGCTGAGGAATACAGAACATTAAAAAAATCAGCCTCTGTTGAGGTTGAATGACAACAGCAAAATCTATTCTGAGTAAGAAACAGGTCATCACATGCTGTGGAACTTGCAACGACAATATTTATTTTTAAGAAATTTCTCCCTCACACTTTGAAAGCCTAGAAAAGCCAGCCATTATCCTTGCAAAGAGCTGGGATGCAGTTTAATTTGTGGGTGCCCGCAATGTGCTTTGAGGTTCTCCTAAGTTATATGACATAGCAGTTATTTCACCTCACATTATCTGAGGATAGGCTGTCACACACCCAGAACCAACGGCAGCGCTATGACACCAACACAACCATAAATCTACAATCCAGTGTTCTTTTCCACAAGGAACAAAACCCCTGAGAGATCCCACCATCCTCACCGGATTCTCCTGCCCTGGCGGCCGAGGGGACACGATTCCAGTCACTCTCACCACAGACTCCACTGGGGCATTAGACAGGAGCTTCTTCACGTGGAAATGTGCCTGCAAGGAGATGTCAAAGTCTCACAGAAATTCAAAGAACAGGGCAAATGCACCTCATTTCTTGACAGCCCATTTGAATCCAAAATCACTCTTAAGCCAGGGGAAACAGTACTAACGTTTCTGTTGCAGTGTCAGGTCAGGGTCCGATAACACTTGAACCTCCCTGTGAGTCAGAGCACGGGGTCTGACCAAGCACTTGGTTCTGCTCTCTGTGTCTGCTGGACCCAAGCTACCAAAGGGAAAATAAAAACACAGGCTCACACTGTGGTAGCACTTACCTCATCCTGTGGAATGATAATCTGGGTCAGTCCCTGGAAATCCCTCAAAACCAGAAACAGGCCTTGTCTGATCCATGAAAAACACAAAAGGAAAACCGTTTTTTTCACTAATTTAGTAGTTTCTACTTTATAGGGCACACGGCAACTGGCTACTTTCTGAACCCTGTGACTCATCTCAAAGCACTTCCAGCTACTGAAAGTACAGACACTTCTCCCACACCTGAATCCAAACTGAACAAATAGTTTCAGATTGTGACCAGCAACAAACAACGTAGAAATAACCAGGACAGGCAAAATTTTAACTTGAATGTTAATCCACATTGAGCAGGGATTCTGGACATGTGCATTTTCCTGCTGGGAAACATCATTCAGCTAAACACAATTAAATGAACGATAAAGCTAAAGTTCACATGGATTTAAAAAATAAAAATAATCCAATCATAAGGCAAGAAGGAGAACACTGGTCCCATAAAAAGTTCCACACTGCTAAACCCAGAATCATAAATCTTGATCTCTTCAGCTGCAGCAGAGACAGCTGCCATTGTACTTTATCCATCAAGAAACTGTCAAAAGGAAAATGCTCTGGCTGCCTTTAAAAACAAGATCATAACAATCACAATGCAATAATCCTAATTCTGTTTCCTGGATCCCCATCCACAATTGTTCAAAGACAAGGTGCTCACGACCTCCTAAAACAAAATTTAAAAAAAAAATCCATGCAGAGCATCACTGGAGAACAATGCTGGGTAAAAACCAGCCTCTCTGGGCTGTGAAATGCAAAAAGGCAACTTCTGACAAATTAACTTCATCCAAGCCACAGAATCTATCTCCATGGTACAAGCACATAGCCACAAACAGGACATTTTGGGGGCACTGTCCACATTTTTCACCCTACATTTATAAAATGTTCAACTCCATTAGGAGAGATTATATCACACCACCTACAAGGAAACCATTGGAATTCACATTCCATCCTCTACTATCTTTTCTTAATACTTCTTTTTTAAGCAAACCTTGCATTTTTAAACATGCTTCATTAGATGCTGTGGTTGAAAAGACAACATTATTTGCTTGAAATTTAAGGACTCTATATAAAAGAAGTTGTAGAATCATGGAATGGTTTGGGTTGGAAAGGACCTTAAAGTTTAGCTCGTTCCAACACCCTGCCACGGGCAGGACACTTCCCATTAGACCAAGCCCCACCCAGCCTGGCCTTGAACCCTTCCAGGGATGGGACAGCCACAGCTTCTCTGGGCAACCTGTGCCAGGGCCTCACCACCCTCACAGGGAAGTTATTTGCTCACTGCCATAAGAATTGCTATAAATAAGCTATTTATTTATTTCTCTCCTATACAATGACGACAATTCTTTACTGCTTTACAATGTTGCAGTGAGGATACATTAACATTTGTATGTAACTCTGAAATACTGATCTGACTTGTTTCTCAACTGGTTTAATCACTTCAAAAGGGAGCACTGTAGGACACAAAAAGATAACTTGAAGCATAAAAAGCAGGGTCTGAATCCAGCCCTAGAGCATACTCTGGATCTGACAAATAATCATCTCCTTTTTTACTGTGGTTTGCATTTACCTTTGATACTGAATCCATCCATACAGGGTCACCTTCTGTCCCACGTGAGCTGAACGCAGCTCTCCACATGTGTTGGTCCGAATGACAAAACTGTTGAAGTCTTGAATAAAAATAATAAAACCTCTCATGGCTTTTGCAGACGAGTGAGACAGAATAGTTAGAGAGTTTCCCCTCCCAAAACAATTAAGCCATAAACAGAGAAATTGCTTCATATATACATCTTCAATAAGATACTATGACATAAATATTAAGTGAGGTTAGTCCAAACATATTTTTAGTGGGATTATTTCTGTATCTCAGTCAAACTTTCACCCAGAAATCTGAACACAGCCTTGCTGCAAACTGTTGCCCTGAAAAGTTCAGGAGGAAGAGAAGGAAAAGCCACAGATAGATCAGCCCTGAGTGATGCTGCCCATTCCACATTCAAATCCAGAATAATACAACAGTTTGGTTTAAAGTTGAAGATCATTTACTTCCAATCCCCTGTCTAGTGGGACACCTTCCATAGACCAGATTGCTCAGAGTCCATCCAACCTGGCCTTGGACACTTCCAGGGATGAGGTAGATAGAGTTTCTACGGGCAATCTGTGCCAGAGCCTCACCACCCTCACAGGGAGGAATTTTTTCCTATCTAATCTAAAACTGCCTTCCTGGAGTTTGAAGCCCCTTGTGCTGCCACTGAAGTTCCTGATGAAGAGAAGACAGAGGATCAAGGGGGCTTGGCAAGCCAAGACTGAAACATGCATGAAACAGACACCCACCGTGCCCGTGTAAATTGATTGACGTTTCCTGCCTGCAACTACTGAGAAAAGGCCTGAACTAGGATTACAGAAGACTTTGCCCAGACTCCAGTGTGCCTGTCTGTAATCACGGTTTAAGGTGTAAAACCAAGCACACCGTTTACAGAATGGGCAATAGGTTCAGCTTACAAGAAGTCGGAAGGATGCCATTACCTAGACATATATAAATAATTACAGGAGCCAATCTCGCTGCCTTCATCACAGCCTTTACAATTAAAAGTAAAGAAGGGCTTATTTTCCAGCTATTATCTCAAGCATTCAGCCTGTTGTTTATTATAGATTGTGTGCTGCAGAGGGTAGGGGGTCAAAAAACAAAGCTCAGAAAAAAACCTAGACTAATTGGTCTTGATGAACTTTGAATCGTGATTCACGTTGAGACGCCAAAACTCAAATAAAAACATTATTTAGAGAAGACACTTACTAAAGCGATACAGGCAAAATAACTTGTCGCAGGTGTGATATTAAGAGTGCGTAGACTACCCTGACCGGTGTCCCGGGGAGGAAACGCACACTCAAACTCCCCGAGGGGAGAAAAAGGACTCCCCAGACCCCCTGGATGAGACAAGCACTCCTTCCTCACCTGGTGCCGCGGGGGCACAGACAGCGGCTGCCCGGTGCAGCGCCCGCGCCAGCAGCCGGGGAAGGGCCATCCCGCGGCTGCAGCTGAGCCAGAAACACGAGAGCACCACCACAGGCCTGCGGGAAGTTTAAAACAAAGACATGGGAGGTGAAACCACGCCAGCTCCACCACCTCCCCCCTCCCTCCCCTCGGCCCGGCCCGGCCCGAAGATGGCCGCGGGGGCGCGCCCCGCGCGCGCGGGGGCTGACGGGAGGCGGGTTCGAACAGCGGAGCGGCCATGGCGGCCATGGCGGTGGAGTCGGCGGAGGACGGGGCGGCGCGGACCCTGCCCAGCCTCGGGCGCCTCTCGCGGGGCCTGCCCTTCGGACGGGCACACGGCCGCCTCGGCACCAGCCCCAGCGGCCGTCTCGTCCTGGCGACGCCGCTCTCACAGGTACGGCCGGGCCGCCAGGCAGGGGAGGCGGCGGCGGCACCTCCCTGTCTTCCCCGCTTCCCCTCCCTTGTGCCCTCAGCCGCGCTGCCCCGCTCGCGAAACACATTTAACGGTATTCCCTTTTTTGTCCTGTCCTAGGAAAGCGGGGATCCGCAGAGAACAGCGCTTCTCCTGCGCAAAGCCTGGACGCTGTACAGCGTGACCCCCCTGTACCGCTTCTGCCGCGGCCGCCTCAGGGACTACGCGCGGCTGCTCAGCGCCTTCATCGCCGCCGAGAGGCAGAAGGGGCTAGCGGTGGAGGTGGGCGTCGAGCTGGACCTCAGAGTGACTCTGTCCAGCCTTCCCGAGCTCCAGGGTAGCAAGCAGGACCAGCCTGCCGTCCTCGTGCAGGTAAGGAGCCCGCCCGGCGGCTTTGGTAAGCGAGGTTTGCGTTTTACGAGCTGGTTTTGCCGTCATAAACCGCTCTCTTTAAAAAAAAGAAACCACCAGAAAACTATCTCCTAGTTGTATGGAGTAACTACTGTAGCATCCACTGAGACTGAATGAAACTGAGTCCTGTCTATTTTTAAATGGAACAGAGCATCATAGTCTTAAGCTGCACCAGGGTTGCACGAGGAGGAATTTCTTCACATAAAGGGGGATTACACATTGGAACGGGCTGCCCAGGGAGGTGGTGGAATCGCTGTCCCTGGAGGTGTTCAGGGAAAGACTGGACGTAGTCTAATTGGCAAGGTGGTGTTCTAATTGACAAGGTTGGACTCAGTAATCTCAAAGGTCTCTTCCAACCTAATTGATCCTGTGATCTCCTAAGCAATGCATACAGTTAACTGCAGTTCTCAGTTCAACTCCTCAACAGGATCAGAGCAAGACTATACAGAGCAATCTCTGTCTTATGTTTTAGTTCAGCAATTTACTGCCAGAACTCAAGTCATTTAGTTTCCTGAATAAAGCTGATATAACCACTCCTGGTCCCAGATTGACTCTAATCAATATTTCTGAAATGCTTTGCCACAAGTGAAATGTGCTACTGAAATGTCAAGTTCATTGTGGTAGTGGTTGTAGGAAGTACCATGGATTGGCTCTTTGGAATTAAGCATCATAGATCTCAGCACTGTTCCTAAGGAAGTGCTTTTTCCGCTGTTTTCAACATAATTGTACTCAACTTTCAGGGATGCAATGGACAGACTGAATAATTGTGTGTGTTTTACAGAAAACAGTGTTGCATGTGAGGTCCTGATAAAAAAAATTCTATCAAACACTTGAAACTATAAAACTGGTTTTGGCTAAAAAAAAAAAATCATACTTGCACTTCAGCATTCAAATGCTTCTTCTCCCCATCCCAGCTTTCTTCAAGGTCACAAGCTTCCCCCAAAAACTCAGAAGACAAGATCCTGTGGTCAGGCTGCTTCTGCTGCGTGTATGGAGATGATCTTTCCGAGAACATGCCGGAGGACTTCACTTGTTTACCTCTGTTCCTGGCGAATGGGGCAGAGAGCTACATGTCTGTTGTTGGAAACTGGTTCCAGAAGACTTTTGACTGCATCTTCCGCCGTCTGGCCATCAGCCCCTTCAACCTCAGCTGGATGGTGGCCATGTGGGCTGGGTGCAAAGTGGACAAAGCTGCCTCTGCCGTGGAACTCGTCTTCTCTGTCCCTCGCCTGCCCCAGCCTCTGGATATTTCATATGCCATCCACCCAGAGGATGCTAGAGCCCTGTGGGACACCATCCAAAAAACTCCGGGAGAGATCACTCAGGAAGAGGTGGATGTCTTCATGGACTGCCTTTACTCCCACTTTCATAGGCACTTCAAGATCCGCCTGTCAGCTACAAAACTGGTGAAGGTTTCTACAGCGATTGCCTCGGCACACTGTGATGGGATTGTAAAGGTGAGGCTTTAAGTAGCAGGTTAGCCAAATAAAATAGCTGCACCTGAAGGTTTCACTTTCCTTTTGCATGGTTTCCTACAAGAAGCTGTTAAACTCTTAAGCTTTTACTAGTCATATTTAGTTCTGGAGTTGGGAGAGCTGTCATTACAGTATTTTACTACTGTGTTGCAGCAGAGGCTACTAGTTTTGGACCAGAAATAGGCTGTGGTGTGAACAGGAGAATTTCTTTGGCCATAAAGAACTTTTTGGACTTAAAAAGATACCCACTTTAATCCAAAACCTTTAAAAAAATTCACTAGCTTTCTAATATTGTATTTTTTAAGATCCTTCACATGTAACCCTTCTCATAAAGAGGCTGGTCTTCCTATAAATATCTGTATAATAGCCTTCAAACCATTAAGAATAAATCCTTCAAGCAAGGCAATAATTTCTTCTGAGTTAAAGAACAGTTTGTGTAAATGCAGTTGCTTAAATTTAGCCTATGATGTGCCCTTCACAGGGCAACTGCAAACCACTGCATGTTAGTGTTACATTGCTCGTTTTTATCTGTAGTAGCTTAAAAGTGGCTGAAACAACTTTTTATGTTGCAGGTGGCTAAACACAAGGTATCTCAGGCTTTCTGAAGAAGGGTGCTCTTGTGGAATGAGTGTTGTGTAAATTCAGTCATGGCTTTTCATAATGGGGATAGAGTTCAAGTCAGATATATATTCAGGGAAAATAGGGTGATCCTTGGATACCTTGCAAACAACAACAGAGCAGCTGACTAAGCACAGGGACCACGGGGTAGCTGGCTTCCAAGCCTTTGAAGGTGTGGAAATCTGGCACCTGCAATTTTTTTTCATCATGTTTTTTTCTTGCAGATGCTACACAGCCAATACCTCTCTGGAGTGCTGATGCTACTGACCGAACTCGCAATCTCTCAGATACAGTGAGAGCCATTTCAGCAACTCTTCATGCTACAAAGGCTTCCTGTTGAATGATGTATGCTGGGAAACCAATAGGAAACTCATTCCTGCAGCATCTTCTTTCCTCTCATGTTGGTTGTCCAGAGCGGGACTATAATTCCTGCACTTAGCTCCGTTACAAGCTGTAACTCCATGCCATGCACAGCCAAGACAAGGAGACATTTTGCCCTAAAGAAGGGCTGCAGTACAGACTTGGGGTAGTTCCTGAGCACCTTTGTTTTATTAGAATCACTCTGTTCATTTATGTTTAGGAGATGAACCCTGATAGGTGTTTCTGTCGTTTCAAAGGGCGAGTTGGTTTTCTCTTAATTAGACAGCCCAAGCTACATAGACCTTAGCCTTAGCTAAACTGTGACTACTCTTGGGCTAGTCTAAATGCAAAATTCAGCACACATGGAAGAAGGAAGGTGAATGCTCTACAATCCAGGGCAGAAAAATCCAGATTTCTAGTTCCCTGCCTTATGTCCAGCCTGTTGGTCCTCTCAGCTGAATTAATACAAAGGAAGTGAGGTCTGTAGATAGGCTTTGCATGATGTTTGTATCTTGGATGTGATCCTGTAGGCCAGAGAGTTCTTGGGGTTAGAGCTGTGAGCTAAAATTTTATGTTGGTTCTCTCCCTTCTTGAGCAGGTAGCGCACAGTGCCTACCCAGAGATTAAAGGGGCCAAAAGGAAGTAGTACCTGCTAAGTCTTAAGATTTTTGTAATATAGTACTAAAGAAAGAAAATATTTTCTGTCTTTCATACACAGACTGGTCTTAAGGAAAGACCACCTATGCCTAATTAAATATTATTCTTGCATGGTGCTTATTTCCAACTATAGCTTACCTGACTAAACCACCACTTGTTACCTATTAAATAATTTTGGGAGCAGCAAAATTTAAAGTCTACTTTCTTGCTTCACACTTGTGCAGCATCTCTAGGTGCTGATGATTTGTGCTGTGAACCTTCTCCCTAAATAGGGATGCAAGTCTCCTTTCTTTTCCCAATGTAAAACTGCCTAACATGACATAACAGCATGCCTAGTTCCTAACCTATTTCCAGAATTTGACAAAGAAACATGCACTTGTTTTTAGATTCTTTACTAATTGAAGATGGATTGTTTTTCCATGTCAAGGCTGCAGTCTGTGGTAACTCTTACCCTGGTAAAAGGAGCTAAGTGATCTTCTGAAGATCTTGACAGCTCAGCAGCTACTTAAATTATCACTTCTGGTGCTTTATTTTCCTTCTTATTAAGTATCTTAGACAAGTTTGCTATCTGGAGTCAGAAGAGCACTGGACAGAGAGTACAAGGTGTCACAATAACTGGCACCTGTATTTGATTTGAAAACACAACTGTTATATCCAGGGTTTAGTTTTAAATCTAATGCTCAGCTCTTTCCAACAAATTTGCATAAAAAGGCTCTAAAACAACTAAATTCTCTATAGCCTTTTTCAACCTCTCCTTGTCTTGTCCTCACTGATAACTGCAGTTAAGTGAGCAGAGATAGATTTACCCAGATATTTAGCAGAGATGCTTCCTTCCAGAAAAAAGCTGATTCTGAGTGATGTGTTTCTAACTGAAGGGTAACACTAAACAGCAGAGGTTTAAGTCCATTTTACTTGGACTGGTATTTGAAAAAAAGACTCCAGCATCTGTGTCCACATAATTCATACCCCACCGCTTTCACCCCAAGGAACAAACCAAGAACAGCATAAAAGAAATTTATTAAGATAGCACTATTTATACAAGTTACTCATGCTAGAAAAAAGCATAAATGATACATGTAAACATTTGTTTACAGAATACTTATTTTCCTTGTAAAGGTGCAAATGATCTCCAATGTAAACACAAGAATACCAACCTTTAGAGGGAAAGGGGCTTTTAAAAAAAGGTTTAATGACCCATTTATGACTGTAGTGTAATTTTTACTATATTCAAGCACATTAAAGTCTGAGTTACATGAATCAAACTATGAAATTAAAGAACTTAAGATGTCAGCACTTGCCTTTTCCCATCTCAAGAATTTACAGTCCTCCTACTCTTTTAAACCCAGATTTAGTAAAGTCCACAGTTAGATCAAGTGCAAAAGGTCATTCTTTCATACTCAATAGAAATTACAATACAAACAGAACCATTGAGTCTTGAGTTTTCCTTCCTCTACCTCCACCCCTGGATGCCTCCAGTTACATTGCCAGCAAACAGTCCTTCCCCTCCAAAATCTAATGAGCCTCTTACCTTTCCCTGCTCTAAATATACACAGGCAAAGTGCACAAAAATCACTAAAAGGGAGGGCACCATCTCATCATGGTCTGGAATTCTAAAGACACAGACGAGGGCAGCTGAGGTGGTGTTGGTCTAAACCTTTTTCAGCAGGAAGGAGCTGGCTGCAGGTCTGCCCTTCTAGCAAGAGCACAAGAAGTGAATGTCAGAATTAACACACGATACCTGCACCCCAGCTTCAGGCAAGAACTGATACCTAGCGGGCAACAGGAGGAAAAAGGCTTTTGTAAGTGAGCAGATGTTTCAAGGTTCACATACAGGGCAGAGGAGAGATAAAAGCTGAACTTTAGTACCATACACTGTACAGTAAAAAGGCAATCGCTAGAAATCCTTTTTTCTCTCACCTGTTTTTGGGCACTTCACTGATTCAGTCAATAGATGAGAGTTCCAGTTCTACTTCTTGCCTCTAGCAAGAGTGGAAAGATACTCAGGGCACCCATCCTCACAGCTCTCTTGTACTCTAAGAGACCCTAAATCATACCACAAGGGCTGGAACCACAATAGCTGGCAGGACATGGCCCTGCCCAAACCACCACCTGGTCGAAATGCAAATCACACAAATACACACATATATATAAAATACATATATATAGATAAATATATATATGCACACATATATATGTATATAAAAAGCTGGAACTATCGCTGTGAGCGACTCAAAAGAAAATACATGATACAAAGTAAATGAAAAAATAAATATACTCTGTGCACAGAAAAGCTTCTGTGCAAAAGGTGGCACCTTGCAGGTCAAGTACTTCTTTGAAGCTCTCTGTAAATAAGGCAAAAGCAATGTTTTCTGTATCACTTTTCTCTTTCGCCCACCAAACAGCTGCCACATCCACTGCTCACACAGCAGGAAACCCTCCTCCTTGCCAGACTCCCAGTACAGCATGTAGTCTCTATGTCAGCATTGTTTACGCTACAATAACTGTTACAGTTTGGTTTATTTGAAAAATGTAGACTATTTAGAAAAAATACGGACATAAGCAACACTTCTACTTTTGTCCAATGGTTCCTGGAGTCTGACAACGTGGTCTCCCGTTGGGCACACTCTCACAGAAGTCATTTTTGTAATTCCATAGAAAGAGTCACCGGCTCAAAGAGTTACATTGGATCTAGACCGTGCATATTAGAGCTGCAAAGAGGTCCAGTGTCAACAAGTCTCTTCAGTTTTTCTAGGAATGAGAACCAAGGGAACTCCCTCCCGCTGGATGCTTACCATATATGGGATTCACAGTGTGTCATTTTGATAACTCCTACGCCTCCTCCCAGCCGCCGGTAGTTCATCCCGCCATACAACCTGCAAGGACAAGGTTTTGGAGTCACACTGGTTCACAACCCTCATGGAGACCCCACGGGGACCAGCCCTAGGGAGCACAATCTGGAGCTATCATGGGAAAAAAAACCCAACCAGCCCCAGTGAGCACACTTAGACCATCACTCATTTAAAGTAGATGGTGAAGAAGTTGGATAGCACACCTCACACACTTCCAAGGTAAACAGCTGTATTTTCTCAGGCCTTTGTCTCTCAAAACAGATACTGCTTCTCCTTTTGACACCAGATTGGTGTTACTCAAGTAATGACTCCTTTCTCCCTGTCTGAATACACAAGAAAACAACTTTGCAGGCTCTAGCTGACCTTGGGCTACATTTTGGGTAACACGGGAGCAAGAAGAGGTTTGCTCCTTACAATTCAACTGCTTTTACTTCTAATTATTTTAGTAATTTTATATTGTAATACCCTAAATTCAGCTGATTCAACCAAGATGTAATGCATCCCAAGCACCATCTATTTATGAAATGATGCCTGCATTTCATATGGCTATCTGATCCCTATAGACTCCAGCATCCTAAGCATTTCAGCTGCATATTCCCATGGCTCAACAAACAAGGGGACATTCCTCCACTGCTGCTTGTGACAGCCTTTCTCAGCAGGAAAGGGTTAAACTAATATTATTACCAGTAGGAATAAGGACATTAATTTCCCTCTATTCCCCACTCCTGCCAGATTACTACAGCAGCAAAACACCCAAATAATTTTGAAACCAATTAGATTTGGGAATTAATACACAATCAATTGCTTTCAAGTATAGTTATGACTAGAAAGGCTACTTTTCCTATTTTCTGCTCCGTACCTATTTTGGATCAGCAATTTAATATTATTTCTCTCAGCTTATACACCAGATGAAATTCTTCCAATTGCTGTCTTTCAGACTTAAGGGAATAAACATCAGAATTCTAAAGTGTTCTGTTTGAGCTCCTCCAAAAGGATTAGGAAATCAAGCCTCAGCTTGAAAGCAAAAACATAGTAGGCCAAATTCTGCATCATGGCTGTGAGCTCCTTCTGCTAAGGGCAAGCTTAGTTTTACTGGGAAGCAGAAGACTCAGCCCAAAACAAAGACAAGGGGCATATTGGGATGCTTTTCAAAATGTGATTCTTTCTTACACTTCCATACAAGGCAATAGCCACAATGTGAGTGTTGTGCTGGCTCTACCACACCTAAGGTCTTCGCTGTGGTGTGCATCACCTTTCCAGTTTGTCTGGGACAGCTCCAGCTGGGTGGCAGCAGCTCCAGCTGGATTTCACTACTGGATTGTTTCCCAAACTCAACAGTTACCTCCACGTGTTAGCATCTGGATCAAACACCTCAATGGTCTTCAAGTACGTTGTGCCATCAAAACCCCCCACTGCCATGAGCTGTCCATTCACCACAGCAAGGCCAACCTGCAAAACAGCCATCACAGACAGCAGCTACTTAGCTGGCATGTCCTGAAAAGAAGGGATGAAATGAAAACATTAATAAAAGGATTTAATAACCATGTTTGGTGAAAGGCAGTCTGCAGGAGAGGGTTGGGGTATTTTTCTTCAGGGTATGGCAGAAATAAAATATCCTAAAAAATGAGACATGGGAAGTTAAACATATATCTCAAACTAGACAATCTCTTAAAGAAAAAGCAGAAGGTTCCCCCTATTGACAGCTACAAGAAGTAGAACCATTTGAATGATAATAGATACAAGAGAATCTAAATGTTTTCCATCCAAAACTTATGTTCTGAATTGAAATTCTTCCTCAAGTGTGAGTTGCTGTGACTTCCAGCCCGCAGCCTGGAACACTTACTTAATGTAGAAGAAACACAGGTCCCAAACCTCTCAGGCTGAGGCTTGGACCACCTGTAAATCATGTTGGCCCCCAGCCTTTCTGCTTAGCCATTCTGCAGAAGCACAAAATCACTGAAACGTCAAATATATGATCACTTCCAGCAGCAAACATGTAGTATAACAGAGAGAGAGCAGGAACACCATGTAAAATGGTCCCTGTTTTGGCTTTGTGGAAGTCAGAAGACTCAGGAAGGATGCAGATACAGATGCATCTGTTAAGCAGTTTCTACAGAAAGCAAATACAGAAGCAGATGATAAAAAGTCAGTGTCTAATCAGTAACTAAAACGAACAGTGTTGGACAGCGTACCATGTGCTTTGATGACAAACAAAAACATGTTCTCTGCCTCCAAAACCAGTAGTTGCTCAAATTACGATTCACAGATGCCTCACCAGGCACTGAAATACTAACATACAGATAAGAACTAATCCATTCTTTACTATATAATCCAATATCCAGTGATAAATATTCATAACATCTGCATGTGCCCAAACACAATGACTACTTAAAACACTGTGTTAAATCTTTCGTTCTACAGAAAGCACCAAGATTAGCAGTTGATGAGAACATGGTGTCACTCTCTATACTCATAGGATTCAGTGAAGAGAGGCAACAAAGTAAGTGAAAGCCCAGATACCCTGTTCCCACACACACATCTCAAGGCAATGAAACAACTTGGAAGGCTGGAAATTTGTATCTAAATACATATCTAATGTTAAATATCTAACGTTACCAATTTCCCAGCTTTTTCCTGGGAATGTGGTGTTTTCACCTCCTACTTCATCCAGAGAGACTCAGGTATTAATTTTGATAGCGTTCTTTAACAGTATCTCATACCAAGTGCAGCTATTTCACCAAGTAAAAACCTAAAACCTCCTCTGCTTCAAGCCTAAGTAGTTGATTCCATACCAGGGACCAAAAATATTTAAAAAGACCCTCAAATGACTCCATTTTCCCATCCTCAGGCACTTTAAACATCTGTCTAGGGCAAAACACGGCTACCACTTCATTCTCTAGTCTTGCTAGAGAGCTTTTTGCAAACCTTTCCCCTCACAGAGAAATCAGACACACAGAGAAATCAGACACACAGAGAAATCAGACACACAGAGAAATCAGACACACAGAGAAATCAGACACACAGAGAAATCAGACACACAGAGAAATCAGACACACAGAGAAATCAGACACACAGAGAAATCAGACACACAGAGAAATCAGACACACAGAGAAATCAGACACACAGAGAAATCAGACACACAGAGAAATCAGACACACAGAGAAATCAGACACACAGAGAAATCAGACACACAGAGAAATCAGACACACAGAGAAATCAGAGGGAAAAAAACCCACAAGCTGACACTACCCTGTGCTCTCACCACATGATTATGTGTGGTATAGACAAGCAAACCAAGCGAAACTCACTCCGCTCCGGCGGGACGTCATGGCCACAACAGGAGACCACTGGTTGGTCCGAGGGTTGTATCTCTCAGCACTGCTGAGCTCTGTTGTATCATCCCTGCCTCCCACAGCATAGATCATGTCCTGGTACACGGCACAGCCCAGGTGTTTCCTCCTCGTCCCCATGGGTGCGATGGTGTGCCAGCGGTTCTCCTGGGGGTTGTAGCGTTCCACTGCAGAAGAAACAACACAGTTTTGGACAACAAGGCTGGCAGGCACTGGGGGTTTGCA